CCGGAGGGGTCAGGGCCCAGGGCCAGGCAGGGCGGCTCCTGGACCACGATTCTAGACACGCCTGCTGGGGGGGTCAGGAGACTCCCGGGGGCCCCCCAGCAGCTGAGGCAGCACTGTCCCTCCCGCATGAGGTCAGCAGGGAGTGCCTGAGGACAGAGGCCTTCTGTCCCCGTCTGAGGGCCGGCTGCCCAGCCTTCTGGCCAGAATCTTTGGGATGGACATGGGGGGGCTGCAGGACCCCCTCCTTGGGGACGGCCCAGGGCCCAACACCCCCCAAGACCCCCGCCCCGGGCACCGGAGCAGCCCCAGGGCTGACCCCTCTGGTGGGGTAGGGAGCAGGGTGGTGCTGGCCTGGGGAGGCCTGAGCTGGGCAGCTGCTGAGGTGCCTCAGTTGCCCACCGCATACAAGAAGGGGGGGCCTTGGACCTGCCCGGGGCCTCAGGCACCTCGTCCCTCCCGGCCACCCTCTCCCCATGTCTGTCCCAGGTGTCAGCCTTGGGGTCACTTTCCCTCGAGCCCTGTCTCCCCCTCTCTCTGCTGTGTCTCTCCCTCCAGCTTTCCGTCTGTCCCTCTGTCCCCCTCCCCCCTGCTCCCTTCAGAGGTGATTAACTCCAGATGCGCTGAGGGGGCCTGGAGAAAGCTGGGGAATGGCTTTCCCTTCTGTCTGCCCCTCGGCCCCAGCGCCCCCCAAAGCCCCAGGCGCTGGGGCCAGGAGGCGGGCTGGCTCAGCGGCCGCAGTCCCTTCAGTCCCGGTCAGTTGTGGTCGTGGTCGTGGGAGGCAGGCAGGGGCGCGGGCCAAGCGAGCCATCGCCAGAGGCCATGTGCCCAGTGGGGCTGTGGGTGGTTCACTCATCGGTGTTGAAAGTGTAAGTGGCCCAGCCCATTGGGCTCAGGGGTTGAGCGTTGACCTATGAATCAGGAGGTCAGGGTTCGATTCCCAGTGAGGGCACAGGCCCGGGTGTGGGCTCGATCCCCAGTGGGGGGCGTGCAGGAGGCAGCCGTCAATACATGGCAATTTTCTCTCACCATGGATGTCTCTCTCCCTCTCCCTTCCTCTCTGAAACCAATAAAAATATATTTTAAAAAAAGAAAGAGCCAGTGAAGGGCAACAGAACGCTCCCCCATAGGCATTGACGGAGCCCCAGCTGTATGCCTGGCCCATCTCCGAGGACCAGAACCTCGTGGTCCAGCAAGGCCTGAAACGAGG